CCCTAAAGCCATTCCCATAGCCTTAAAGGAAGCAGTAGCAAATGTACTGTATACTCTCTGATTGTCCTATTTCCTCAAGAAATCACAACTCACTTAGAAACAATTCTCCATGGAGGCTCTTAAATATTAAATACTTTCAATTAGCCAAAATTACTTAATTATTACAAGTGCTACCAAAGGAAGTAACTTTTGTGCCCAAGTACATTTGGTAAAAGTCAACAAAAGCTGCTCATTAGCATCAGTGGAAAATATTTTCTTGCTACCAATAGTTTCAATCATACATTGAGGGTAAAAGTCACTTTTAGTGGGGATTGTAGTTCAGTGGTAGAGTGCTGGTCTAACTAGTACAAGGGTCTAGATAGCGAATAGAGGAGGAGAAAAGAGATGAGGAAAAGGGAGAGAGAAAAGGAGAGAAATAAGAAGAGGGAAGAAAAAAAAGAAAGAAAATCACTTTTCAAGGATGCTGGGTCAAACATGTAAACCAAGAGATAACCAACTAGTAAACATCTAAATGAACAACAATTAAATACACAAATCTAGGCTAGGAGCATGGCTCAAGTAGTAGAATCCTTGCTTAACAAGCATGAGACCCTGAGTTCAATCTCTAGCTCTGGGGGGAGAAAATTCCATACTCTTGGACTTCTACTGACATCCAGAGTTGGTTTAAACTAGGAGTATGAAGAAAAGGCAAGGTAGTTTTCAAGAACTTCAAGTGAGCAGCATCTCACTTCCCTGTACACAAGTTCCATAATTCACAAAATGTACTTCTCACAGAAACAAGCACCAAAAGCCTGGTGAGATGGATACACAGACAGGAACGGCACAGTGCACAGGCATTCTGTGTTTTTCTAAAACCAACAGTCAGTTACACATTTCCAATTCCCTTCTAAATACACAGAGAGGAAAAGAACATACCAGAATTTCTGAGAAAAAAGCACTAATTAAGGTACCAAAACTGGTACAACGTCGTCACTCTATTTCCCATGAGGGAAATGAGAGGGATGAGTAATCTAGTTAAGTCCTTTGAGAATTATAAAAATGTTCCAATAAGGATATTAATTCAAAGGTAATTTTAGGAAACAGTGAAAAATGGTATACATACAAAAAAACCCATTAAATATTTTTTGTTCTTAAAATACTAAGATTTTCTTTTTTGAGGCTATGTGAAATAACTCAAGAACAAAATGCTTAAAAGAAGGCTTGTACTTAAATGCTTAATCCCTCCTAAGATGCTTTCCAAGAAATAGCTTTAATTAATTTTATAATTTTTTGAGTGTGCTAGGGATTGAACACAGGGTCTTGAGCATGCTAAGCATGTGCTCTGCCACTGAGCTATGCCTCCAACCTCAAGCACACCAACTTTAAAAACATAGATCCTAGCTGAACACTGGTGGCTCATGCCTGCAATCCTAGCTACTCAGGAGGCTGAGATCAGAGGATCGAGGTTCAAAGTTAGGGACAGTGTCCAGGCCCAAGTTCAAGACCCAGGACCTGGAAAAACAAAACAAGCCACTGGCTGCTAAGATTTAAAAAAAATAAAAAAATAAAAAGCAAAAAGCTGGCTGGTGTCCATGATCTTTACCCCATATAAAAGAACTTTATCCTAGTTCATTGTGAATCATTAGAATCTGGTTAAACATTATGAACCACAAGTTATGAAAATTACCCCTGCTCTGAAACATGTTGCATTATCCACTTTTAAAAAATCTCGCCAGGCGCCAGTGGCTCACACCTGTAATCCTAGCTACTCAGGAGGCTGAGCTGAGGACTGTGGTTCAAAGCCAGCCCAGGCAGGAAAGGCCATGAAACTATTTCCAATAAACCACCAGAAAACTGGAAGTGGTACTGTGGCACAAGTGGTAAAGTCATTGAGCTGAAGAGCTCAGGGACAGCACTCAGGCCTGAGTTCAAGCCCCAGGACCCACACAAAAAAATCTCTCTTCTTCCATTTACTTTAAGAAATATTGGGCTTAAGCCGGGCGCTGGTGGCTCACGCCTGTAATCCTAGCTACTCAGGAGGCTGAGATCTGAGGATCGCGGTTCAAAGCCAGCCCGGGCAAGAGAGACCGTGAGACTCCTATCTCCAATAAAACCACCAGAAAACTGGAAGTGGCGCTGTAGCTCAAGTGGTAGAGCGCTCGCCTTGAGCTGAAGAGCTGAGGGACAGCGCCCAGGCCCAGAGTTCAAGTCCCACGACCGACCAAAAAAAAAAGAAATATTGGGCTTAAATTTGGGGTCTTGAAGCATTTCTTTCCCTTTAGCTGCTCTTAAACTTGAGCCACACTGCTAATTTTGTCTGACTTCTTACTGATTAACTGGAGGTTAAAAGCCTCTCAGGACCAAGGGCCAGTAGCTACCACCTAAAATCCTAGCTACTGAGGAGGCTGAGATCTGAGGATCATGGTTCAAAGTTAGTCTGGGTAGGAAAGATCATGAGACTCTTATCTCTAACCACCAAAAAGCCCAAGTTTCAAGAGGGAGAGTGCCAGTCATTAGTGAAAAGGCTAAGAGAGTACCCAGCCCCTAAGCTCAAACATTAGTAGTACTGGGACATCCACACAAAAAAGATCTTCCTAGATCTGCCTGGGCTGGCTTTGAGCTCAGATCCTTAGATTTCAGCCTCCGAGTAGCTAGGATTATAGGTCTGAGCCACAGGTGTCTGGCTAATTTTTACTAACTTTTTAAAGTACCAAAATTTGCTAGGATGTACTCTGGGCCGAGATCCCCAACAGCCATGAATTACAAACTTGAGAAACAAAAATAAGTATTTAACTGGGTATTTAGTATTTACACTGGTATTTATTAATTGATGATACTGTGACTTACAATAAATAAATATAAAGGTAAAACAATGAGTAAACAAACAAATGTTCGGATCAGTACTGGGGCTTGAATTCCAGGCCTTGTACTCTGGCTAGGCTTTTTTAATCATGTTTGGAATTTTACCACTTTGAACACCACTAGTTAACTGGAAATAAGAATTTCTACGATGTGTCTGCCGGGGCTGGCTTCAAACCCCCATTCCATCTCAACTTCCTAAGTAGCTAGGATTTCAAGTGTGAGCCATCTGTTCAGTGCTTGGGTAACAGAGGATTTTTTTTTTTTTTTGGTCAGTCTTAGGGCTTGAACTTAGGGCCAGGGTGTTGTCCCTGAGTTTTACCACTTTGAGCCACCGTACTACTTCCAATTTTCCAGACTTTTCTGCTTAGGCTGGCTTTGAACTGCAGTCCTCAGATCTCAGCCTCCTGAGTAGCTATTTTTTGTTTGTTTATTTGTCAGTTGTGGGGCCTGAACTCTGGGTCTGGGCACTGTCTCTTAGCTCTTCAGCTCAAGGATAGCATTCTATCACTTGAGCCACAGTGCCACTTCTGGCTTTTTCTGCTTATGTGGTACTGAGGAATTGAACCCAAGGCCTCATTCATGCAAGGCATGAGCCACCTTCCCAGCCCCCAGAGAGTATTTTTGATAGATGAAACAGTAGAGCTGTGGGAAAAAATTTCCAATTTCTTTGGGGATTTTCTTCTAATAAACTAGTTTATGTTCACAATAATAACCTATCAACTTGTAAACAGACACCAAATGCAATAGTGGCAGTAGTATAAGGGAGTTATAATTACATGTTTCATCCATTTTGGTTCTTGAAAATTCATAAATTTCATTTTTTAAGGTACTATGAATTGAACCCAGGGTTTTGAACATGCTAGGCAAGTGACCTCCCATGGAAGCTACATCTCTAACCTAAATTTTAACTTTTTTGTTGTTGTTGTTGGTTATAGGGCTTGAACTCTGGGCCTGGACTCTGTCCCTCAGCTCTTCAGCTCAAGTCCAGCACTCTTCCTATTGAGCCACAGCGCCACTTCTGGTTTTCTGAGTGGTTTACTGGAGATAAAGAGTCTCATGGACTTTTCCTGCCTGGACTGGCTTTGAATTTCGATTCTCAGATCTCAGCCTCCTGAGTAGCTAGGATTACAGGCGTGAGCCACCAGTACCTGGCCCCAAATTTATTGATAACAATATTGGAGCTCAGGAATGAATATCCTCAGAAATGCTTTAAGCCAAAATAATCTTGTACTAGAGTGTTTACTAAAGCTAAGGAGAAAAATATCCCTATTTCTATATATTATTTAAAAAGCACAAGAACAGATTGTCTGAAAAAGGACATACTCTCTCCAACACTAAGACCAAAGCAGGCATGTTTTTATACACTTGATCTTAACCAAAAGACCAAGAAAGTGACCAAGGTAGATGCTTATGCCCAAGACAGCCATTTAACTCTCAATAAATTCAGCAATGCTGGCTTCTTAGAATTCCATATTCCTTTTGAGGCTGACTGAGGTTCTTCATTCACCCTTCTATGAATGAAGATTGTCATCAACGAATAAAAATATGATCTGCTACTGCCTCAAAATACTTAAAATGTCTTGGGTCATCAACTGAAAAAAAATCCTTCAAAATTCAGAAAACTTAGCCAAGCAGCTTCCCTTTTATAAAACAAAGGACTAGGTATTTTACATTTAAATAAGTCAAAATTAAGATGCCTGGAGCAAAATAATCTTTTTTGGGGGGGGGGTCCGTTGGTGGGGCCTGAACTCTGGGCCTAGGTGCTGTCCCTCAGCTCTTCAGCTCAAGGCTAGCGCTCTACCACTTGAGCCACAGCGCCACTTCCGGCTTTTTTTCTTTTTGCTTATGTGGTGCTGAGGAATCGAACCCAGGGCCTCAGGCATGCAAGGCAAGAGCTCTACCACTGAGCCACCTTCCCAGCCCCCAAAATAATCTTTAAATGAGATTTTGGAGTTGAGAATGAGAACTCTAGCATGTTTATTCATGCTAGATACCACAGAAATCACATTACTTTTCCATACATAAAGGCTTAAAGTGACATGATACTTCCAACTTGGAACCTTCAAATAAATGTCAAGCACAAAGACCAACAACCTCCAAGTAACTGTACAGTCTGGACTTGGAGTAATTGCCCCGGGCTAAGTTAAAAGCATACCTACCTTTTAAACCACATGATTTCATTAGGGTCTGCAATGCCAAACTCCCTTATCTTCTTTACCATGATGGCACTCTTCTTGACAGCCGCCTCATAACGCTGGCTGCGAGTGAGGAAGTTATAGTCCTCATGCTGGAAATCTGGGTCATTCACAATCAAGTCCTCTGCAAAGAGAGTGAGGAACAAGAAGACTGACATCACCTCTCAATCAGCAGGTCTGAATAAAGGGCAGTGCGCCCCCCCCTTCCAACCCAGCCACAGGACGCCCTCACTAGTGGGGGCTCCCCCCTAAACCTCACAGCGCCCTCCTCCGTTCCTCCCCAAGGTGAGGTCCCAAGCCTGGCGGGTGGGGGGGGGGGCGGGGAGGCTCGGCCGGCCGCACTCACCGATCTCCCGACGGCGCCGGGTGTTCTCGGGGCCCCCGTCCAGGATGTGTGTGATGAGCTCCGGGTTGAAGGTGGCGGAGGCCCGCTCCCTGCGCAGGTCGGGGTTCATGGTGTCGGCCAGTGCCAGCGGCGGGAGGACGGAGCAGCAGCGATGGCGGCCAAGTCCGACTCTGCCACTCCAGCTGGTGCCCAGCCTTAAGAGCGGTCCCCCTCGACGACGCCAGGCCCCGCCCGGCCGGCCCGCCCCGCCCGGCCCGCGCGGCCCCGCCTCCCTCGCCGCCGCCGCCGCGCCGCGCGTGACCCGGCCGCGCCGCGGCGGGGGAGGACGGCGAGGAGGCGGCGCCCGCGCCGGGAACGCCCGCGGAGCCGGCGAATCCCCGGGAACCCGCCGGGGGAGGCTCCCGAGCGGCCCCGAGCCAAGGGGACACAGGTAGAAGGTCGAGAATTTGTGCAGGGAAGGGGGCAGGAACGGGGCAGGGAGGAGGCGCCCGCGGCAATCGCGGCTCGGCCGCGTCACGTGATCGCGGAAAACGGGGCCCTTGGGCACGCCCGGGTCGGATTGGTTGGCTGCGTGGGTGGGGGCGGGACCAAGGGTACGATGAGGTACTGCGCCTGCTCCGGGGGATTCCAGCCTCGCCCGCTCGAGGCTTCCGGGTCGGCGCGCTCAACCTTTCCCGGAAATGAGAAGGGGAATGAGGCTGAAGAGGCTGGGGCTGGGAATGCGGCTTAGCGGTACCGTGCCCGAAGCCCAGGGTTCGATTCCTCGGCACCGCCTAAGTGGGAAAAGCCAGAAGTGGCGCTGTGGCTCAAGTGGTAGAGCGCTCGCCTTGAGCGAAAGGAGCCCAGGGACAGAGCAAAGCCCAGAGGTGGAGAGATTATTGGTGAAAGGAAGTTCTAGGAGATTCTAGAGCCGTCAGACATTAGGGAACCTGGTCAAAGAGGAAGAGCTCTTGTGTTAAGATAATGGGGTGTTGCTGCCAGAGGTGTGGGCTTGCGGTGGCTTTCCATTGGTGTGTGATTCTGAGAACTCAGTCCTGGGGTGGTGGAGCTCGAACTCAGGGCCTGGGCACTGCCCCTGAGCTTTTGCTCAAGGCTAGCCCTCTGCCACTTGAGCCACAGCACCACTTCGGCTTTTTCTGTGTGTGTGGTACTGGGGAATCGAACCCAAGGCTTCATGCATGCAAGGCTAGCACACCACCACTGAGCCACCTTCCCAGCCCGTGGCAGCAACGCTTTTTTTTCCTGAAGCTGGCAGTCTTAGGCTGGGGTATGGTTTAGTGAGTCAGGCCTAGGGACCAATCACCCGTACAACATGAGAGCTGTTCTTAAGAGATCTTGGAATGCAGGCTTTTTGTGTTATGAGCACCGATAAATCGCTAAATGAGCCGGGCCCTGGTAGTTGTAATCCTAGCTACCCAGGAGGCTGAGATCTGAGGATCACAGTTTAAAGCCAGCCTGGGTAGGAATGCCTGTGAGACTCTTACCTCCAGAAAACCAGAAGTGGTGCTGTGGCTCAAGAGGTAGAGTGCTTACCTTGAGCTGAAGAGCTCAGGGACAGCAGCCAGGCCCAGAGTTCAAGCCCCATGACTGACACACACACACACACACACACAAAAGCACTAAATGCCCACTTGTTTATATGTTTTAGTTATCTTTGACCTCCTGCCACTTTAGTAAATATAGAACCACTGTGCATTCTTTTACCTCTCCCTAGTTTACCCTTGTAAAAATCAGCATATGCAATCCCTTTTTGCAGTGACAATACTGGAAGTAAGGTAAAACGAATGAGTTTTTAAGCTCGAAAGCAAATTTAAAGGAAATTCAAAGGTGCTGGTGGCTCACACCTGTAATCCTAGCTACTCTGAGTATCACAGTTCATGGCTAGCTTGGGCAGGAAAGTCCATGAGACACTCATTTCCAACTGACCACCAAAAAGCAAGAAATGGAAGTATGATTCAAGTGGTAGTGCCACCAGCCTTAAGTGGAAAAAAGCTAAGGGACAGTGCCCGGGCCCTCAGTTCAAGCCCCATTACTAGTATCACAAAATAAAAAATAAAAGTCCCATGCATTCTTTTTGAGGTTGCTGATAATGAACAAGAACTTTGTATCTGAACAAGTGCTCCACATTGTACTACCATGACTTACCATGTATTAAAATATCAATATAGAAAGCCTCACAATGAACACAAGTACAAAAAAAAGTTGAAGACTAGGACTGGGAAGGTGGCTCAGTGGTAGAGCGCTTGCCTTGCTTGCATACCTGAGGCCCTGGGTTCGATTCCTCAGCACCACATAAGCAAAAAGAAAAAAGCCAGAAGTGGCGCTGTGGCTCAAGTGGCAGAGCGCTAGCCTTGAGCTGAAGAGCTGAGGGACAGCGCCTAGGCCCAAAGTTCAGGCCCCACAACCGGACCCCCCCCCCAAAAAAAAAAATTGAAGACTAAATCATTGTTTCTTTTGTTCCTTGGGCCTTAAGTTCTAATGAACCTATACAAGAAAGTTATTGAGGCTGTTTTTCTTTTAAAAAAAAAAAAAGCTTTTAGAGGTACTGGGGTTTGAACTCATGCCTCAGTTTATTAGCTTACTAGGCAAGTAGGCACTCTACTATGTAAGAATATCAGGGACTTTCCTGCGTGGGCTGGCTTCAAACATCCATCATCCCATCTCTCCCCTGAGTAGCTAGGATTACAGCCACCAGCACCTGGCTCCTGGGGCTGTTTTTAATATTTCCTCTCATCAAAACCTAGTGCTCCAAATACAATCAACATAAACTGCTGATCAGATACAGTTGAGTTTACTGCTTACTGGGTGAAAGGGGAATTTGACAAAGTTTTGGCAGTGTCTCAGAGAAAATAGTAATTGGAACTTTGGTTTAAGGTAGGACTTTTATTTCTGAATACTGGTTATGATTAAGAACTACTATCCAAGCCCGATGCTGGTGGCCCACTCCTGTAATCCTAGCTACTCAGGAGGCTGAGATCTGAGGATTGAGGTTCAAAGCCAGCTCAGGCAGGAAAGGCCTTGAGACTACCTTCAATGAACCACCAGAAAATCAGAAGTGGCGCTGTGGCTCACAGTGGTAGAGCACTAGCCTTGAGTTGAAGAGTTTAGGGACAGTATCTAGGCCCAGAGTTCAAGCTCCAAGACAGACAAAAAAAAAAAAAAAAAGAAGAACTACTATCCAAAACTCTTCGAACTGCCAGGGACTTCGGAGATTCTCAGTGAGCAAACTGGTGGTTGATGTTCAAGGTGTTGCCTGGATGGAGAATCATGGGGTGTTGCTAAGATGGAGGCTTCTAGGCTTATCATTGTGGAGTTATAATGTCTTTTCAAACATTTTCTGCAGGTCATGATGTGTCTAACCATCAAATATAGACTGATTTGTGTGTGTGTGTGTGCCAATACTAGGGCTTGAACTCAGGGCTTGGGTGCCGTCTCTTAGGTTTTTTGCTCAAGGCTGGCTCTGTACCACTTAAGCCAAAGCCCCAACTTTTGGGGTTTTTTTGCTTTTGTTTTTGTTTTTTGGTGGGTCATGGGGTTTGAACTCTGGGCCTGGGCGGCGCTGTCTGTGAGCTGTTCAGCTCAAGGCCAGCTCTCTACCACTTGAGCCACAGTGCCACTTTCGGTTTTCTGGTGGCTTATTGAAGATAAGAGTTTCAAGGACTTTACTGCCTAGGCTGGCTTTGAACCTCAATCCTCAGATCTCAGCCTCCTGAGTAGGCTGATCCACCATTGCCTGGCCAACTTTTGGCTTGGAACCTTGGTCCTCAGATGTCAGCCTTCTGAATAGCTAGGATTACAAGTTTGAACCACCAAAGTTCAGTTCACTTCTTTTTTGTTCTGTGCTTTTTAGTCATTCTTTGTCTAAAAAAAAAAAACACCTTTTCTACCCATCAGAACACTTAAACTCCATTATGGAATGAAGTGTTGGAATGAAATGCTGCCTGATGCTACAATTTAAAATGAAGTCTTTGAACTGAACCTTTGTCACTTGTGCTTGACCATTCAGGCTGTAATAACGACAGTGAGTGTACTTGGTGTTAAGCTTTTAGATGGACTTGGTGAAATATTTGCAAACTTACAGGATAATTGCAAGAGTTAAACACAGAAGCAATATACCTTTCACCTAGATTCACTAGTTAACATTTGGCATGGCTGTCTCCTGCAGGTCAACTCTGTTTACTTGTTTCCTGTTTTCCAACTATTTGAGAAAATACTGCAGAAGTTCTCCTTTGCTTGTAAATACTGCAGGCTATAGTCCCTAAAAATTAAGGGCATCTACAGGACAATTACCAGGTAAGATAACTTAGCATCGATGCAACATGGTTATCCAATCTTCATGGTTTTGCACATTGTCCAGTGGTCTCCTTTAGCACAGTTTTTTTTCTGGTTTAAAACAGAACCACTCACACCTATGCTCCTAGCTACTCAGGAGGCTGAGATCTGAGGATTGAGGTTTTGAAATCAGCTCAGGGATGGGCACCGGTGGCTCACGCCTATAATCCTAACTACTTAGGAGGCTGACATGTGAGGATTGCTGTTCAAAGCCGGCCCAGGCAGGAAAGTCCATGAGGCTCTTATCTCCAATGAACCACCAGAAAATCAGAAGTGGCTCAAGGGGTAGAGCACTCGCCTTGAGCTGAAGAGCTAAGGGACAGCACCTGGGCCCAGAGTTCAAGACTCACGACCGACCAAAAAAAGAGAAAAAAAGAAAAAGAAATCAGCTCAGGGCAGGAAAGTCTAGTGAGACTTATCGCCCATTTAACCAGCGAAAAGTGAGTAGAGAGCTGGCTATGAGCAGAAAACCCAAGTGAGAGTTCAGGACCCTGAGTTCAAGCCCCATTACTAGAACATTATAGATAGCACCCAATTGCGTTACTTTCTTAGATTTGTTGTGACAGCATGTGTGTATGCGTGCACCAGTTCTGGGGCTTGAACTCAGGGCCTGGGTGCTGTCTGTGAGCTTTTTCCCTCAAGGCTGGTACTCTATCACTTGGACCACAGCTCCATTTCTATATTTTTTACTGGTTAATTGGAGATTAGTGTCTCACAGACACTGAGCAGGAAACTGCTCAGACTAGGTTTTGAATCACAGTCCTTAAGCCTTCTGAGTAGCTTGGATTACAGGCATGAGCCATCAGCACCCAGCTGCAAAATTAATTTTAAGAAGATTCTGGGGCGGGGCACATGGC